CCGGCATCCGCACCGCACCGTGCAGGCCTGGGCTTCTGGCAGCATTGGCCTCTGCCTGCTGGCCACAGTTACCAGCATCATATTTCCCAGCATCAAATTTCCCCGCACCTTCCGCATCATGTTTCAGCGTACCAGCTCTCACGCACAGGCACAGCTATGTGATCCCTCCTTGCCCCCTTTCTCTCCCAGTTCCCTGCTTGGCTCAGGCAAGAAAGCATCCTGCTGCCACCACCTCACCCTGGAGTGAAGAGCCCAAAGCAAAAAGGAGGACTGTTGTCACGATAGGCTTAAAGAGGAGGAGCTGTCCAGGTTGGTTTGCCCCCAACAGCGCCTGGCAAACCAGCACAGAAAAGGACATTACTAGTGACGATCCCCAGCAGCAGCTTAAGAGAAAAGAAAAAGCACAAGAGAGAGGACATGTCTGAGGAGCTTTTCGTTTGATCTGAGCAAATCGCCATCTCATTTCTGGGAAGAAAGAGGCACCCCTACAAGACAATGTAGACTTGGAGAAGTCTCTAACAGATCTACTGAAGGACGAATTATCCTCGACACATGCAGCTGCTGGAGCTGTTGGGAGGCAAAGACTGTCCCATCAGAGAAAATGGCATTAAAACATTCTCTGTGTTATGCAGCCCCAGGAATAGGCTGCCTCAGTGGAGTGACTCTTCCCCAAATCCAGTGATCAGGCAACTCCCCACCAGGCCATGGCCCACCTGATTTTTCAGAATTAACCTTGACAATTTTGGTTTCTATGGAAGGCTCCATGCAGCCAGGCAGAGCTGAAAAAATATATATTCTACTTGTGCTGTGAGGGAGAACACCTGACAAAAGAAGCAGCACGCTGCACTGTACACCAGATCAGCAGCGGACACTGTATGCACGTCCCGGTCCTTCTATTACTAACAAACATGAACCATTCTGCTTCTCTGGAGGGCTTTCTTTCTCTCTTTTACATATTCAGGAATCTAAAAAAAGCAACAAATTTTTAATCCAAAAGAAACTAGTGGAGTCCTCGGGAGTAACTCGCAACAGCCTGCAGTTGTGCCAGTGGATCAGAAGTGAACCAGGTCAAACAGATAGCCAACACACAAGTCATTGCATGCTAGGTGCCTGATTTGTTGCATTTGCAGCAACACCAACTTGGCAATGGCTTTGTAAATGCTGTCTCTGAACTCTCCTGGAGTGTAATTCTGTCACAACTAGGATCAAGTTGCACTTATCTTTTCCCTTCCATGGAGTTACCAGGAAAGAGAGAATGGCTGGACACAGACCTCCGAGATTAATAGCTGTAGGCATGAAAATTGTATTAAAAATTGCACAGAGGAAAATAGGCTTTGCTCTTAGCAGGGATTTAGACACTCTGGGGGAAAACGATGCAAGTACAAACCCAAGCATTGCACTCAGTTTCAAGAAGCACAGGCTGCTGCTATATTAAACTAGTAAGTCCTTTTTGGCCTGCAGCACAGGTTTCCTGAAGATCAGAGACTATTCCTGAAGCCAGCAATGGAAGAGCAATGGGCTGGGGACTCTGCTCTGTCATGCCACAGCAGCCACTGCCACATGCCACTCCATGAATTTTTGCTGAGAATGCCTAACCAATGCTGCCAGAGAGCAGTGATGGGACAAATGAGCCCAGCACAAGAAGATAATTGTTTCAGAAATCCAGAAAAGCACAACAACAGGTCCACCAATGAGAAGAAAAGAAGGCTATCTGAGATTTGAATCTCCCTGAGCATCCTGCAAATTCACACCCCTTCTTCCAAACCAGCCAACACTTTTTCCCATGCAAAGCCAAAGCCTCGCAGTCATCCTTCACTGCATCCTTGCACATCTCCTTCTGCCATTCCCCCTCCTCAGAGAAATGGATGGTGATGGACATAACTGTTTTGTTTAAAGAAGCAACAAATTTTTAAAGAATCAATAAATTCTCTCACGAGAAGTCCATTGCAAAAGCAACGTTAATCACAGTTCATCTTCCACTTAAAATGCGTCTGGCCTCCTTCAGAATCATAATCATTGTGCACGTAGCAAAGAGGGAGCAAGCGAGACTCAAACAGGGAACCCCATCACTCAGATCTCCTAGATGACAACAGTGCTGTGATAATTCAAAGAGATTTGGGAGCCATTTCTGCACCAGTCTTTTTGAAAAAGCATGAGTCAAATCTGTCACTGAATTATTCACATGCTTTGACCAGTTAGCTCAGAGTATCATTTGCCAGGACATTCATGGTGCCCTGCAAGTATTTGGTTTTTAATTAAAAGCTCTCTACATAAAAAGTAGCGTGCACCACAGTCTTCTTTGTAAAACTTAAAATTAAAAAAAAAAAGATTAAATAGCTTCAGCAAGGGAATCATTCTGTCTTAAGTAATTTTGCAAACCTCCCCAAACCAAT